TAAGAAGAACCTCAAAGGTCTATGCTCAGTTTTATAGGGGAATTTGGGCCTCGGATGACCAACTTTGAGATATGCCTAAAATTTTAAGGTATCAAAAGAGAATCAAAAATTCCATAAACCCAACTTTACAGGAAAGATTTCCTGAATGCTAGAACTATCCAAAGTTCGCTATTATGACCATGTACCACTACTCTTATCCCATTTCTCTGCGTCCAGGGCACCTCCCCGCGGTGACGGCGATAACGGATTGTACCAAAGACATTGAAGTAATATCTAAAATGTATTTGGTACAGTTTATTAATCCGGTTAAGTCCCTGGTCGCGATTCATGCCATCTGTCACAGAAATTCGGATTTGCTTGTAATGACAGTGATGCCTCTGGAGTTTGCCCTGGGGGGGAGGAGGGGGAGAGAGATGGATAAGCGGCGAATATACCAATCGAGGTAGATCAGCCTTTGGTACGGGGGGTCACTCCGAAGCAGCTACTGGTCGCGATGAGATCCTGTGGGCAATGTGGAAAATATTTAAAAAAAATAGTCGCGTAAACATTTGTTGGCTTGGGAAGTGCTAGATTTCTTGGAACAAGAACCTATCTAGTAGTTCCATAAGAGCTCCACTCAACATTTCTGCTCTAAAACACAAATTTGCTACTTTAAAAACAAATTTACTGCTTTCAAAAGATAAAAATAATATAAGAAAATAATTTGTATTTTTAAAAGCGAATTTGTGATCGCAGCGCATGTTTGCATCGCAGTATTTCGTGACTGTGATAGATTTTCTAACCTCAATAGTCGTCAACTTTAATGTTTAATATCTCAGTTCACGGGGTAGAACGGCACTTTTTTCTTGTCAATTTTTTATTTTTCCGCGAAAACGCATCGATTCGGTGTATTTTTATCAAAATTTGAGATGAGCGGGTTCTTCATAACATTTACCACTTTTTTTTTTTTATATAAAAAAGCATAATTATTTTTTTATGTTTGATAAAAATAAAAACCCAGGGAACACAAAGTTACATGCAACGTATCTGTTAGTTATAATTTCCTACTGAACAATATAACTGTAATATAACACACGTGTTATATTACGGTTACATTATGGAGTCGCTGTGATAACATTGGATTATGACATCAGAAGCGAAAAGTAACATGTTAAAATTTCGTGCATGCTATTTGTAAATAAAGAGAATTTGGATAAAATGAAATATGAGATCGTTGCAAAATACTTATAAAAATGGACGAAGACTATCCCTAACTCTCATGAAGACTATCCTTATTTCCCTCTTGACTCCTTAGTCAATAAATAGTCGTAAAAGGCACGAGAAAACTGAGAAGTGCGTTTACTCAGTGGGTCTCATGTGTAACCTATTTTCATTTCACGTTCCTTTTACCACTACCACTGGTACTGACTTAAAAGGAGTCAAGAGGGAAATAAGGGGATAGTCTTCACCCATTTTTATAATGAGATTGTTTTTTAAAAACAATCTAATTATTTCGCTTTACCTAAATTCTTTTTATTTATAAATGCCATGCAAGAAATTTTAACGTGTGATTTCTCATTTACGACGTGTGATTCAGTGTTGTCATAGCGCAGAAGCTTTAAAGAGGAAAAAGATTTTAAGTAGCAACAGGGTGTCCACGGACGGTTTTTGTGAGTGTACGTTTGAATCAATCGCAGAAACGCTGGATTATTTGACTTGTTGGCATCTTTTTTCTGTACGTGACGGTCTTATTCTGTGCGTCCACTGCACGCAGGCAACACTTTTATATAAGGAAAAATGAGGAGTTAGCAGTTTAATATAGTAATAGAAGTCTGTGATTCAAAAACACTGTCAATGTCGAACGTAGCCATTCTCTACACTTTGCACTTTCTACACTCCAGAGATCAGAAGTGCGTTCGAGGAACGCGCTATCTTAAGTTCATGTCGTGTCATGAGTAAAAATTACGATGAAGTTTTAAGAAATGGAACAAGCAGTTTGAATAATAACGATTGAATAAGAAAGACTATAAAATAATTTAAGTATTATAGTAATAATTAATAAAATAAATAATAAAAAATATTGTAATTACAATTTAAAAGTAATAATAAATTTAATCTGTGAATATATAATTAAACTAAATAAAAATAAAGTTTCCTATTTATTTCTTTTTCATAACGCATGTCTCACAAATCCAAATTTATTCATCTTAGACTTAAACCTAACAGCTTTCACAACTTTCATAGCTTACACGACTGTATAACTCAATCGCATATATATGCACTTTGCATACTTTTACTCTCTTGGGAATGTTTGTTATTTTTCTTATTCTAGATATTACATTCATGTTTTTACTACTATGTTATTATATCGAGATCTAGCAGCGTTTTTACATGAAAAGTATTTCTATTTAAATGAATTTTTTTTATTTTACACTTACTTTTTAATTTTTTTTTGGTAAAATACTTGAATTGAGTAAGGTAACGTAATTTTATGATAATGTATTGAAGGAGAATTAAATAACTACTGCTTTGGATGGAAAATTTTTTTAAATGAATTGTGATATAATAATTTTTTTGAAGAAGGAATAAAGCCATTTGGATTGAAATAGAAAGATCCTTTAATAGGAATACAGAGATATATACTTAGGTTTCATTGTATAAAAATTAAAGATTGTGTCACTTGGATTACACCCTTTATTTAATCCTTCGTGGTCACACGAGGGGCAAAATGACTCCAATATTTTAATTGATTGTACTTACAGCTTTTGTTCTTTAAAATCACAAAAAAATACTGAACATACTTTAAACATTGTAGAATATGGAAATGCAATGGCTTTTTAAAGTTTTTAATTTTAACATATTTTAAAAAATCGCAAAGTTGATGTTTAAGGAACAACATGCGGTTGAAGGTTCAAAAAAGGTATTTTAAACTTCGGATAAATGGCAGTTTAAATACCGTTTTAAAAAAAGATTTTATAAATATAAAGCCTCACACTTTTTGGGGGTCCCCAGACTCCCCAAGTGACCACGAAGAGTTAATTTGGTATAGAATTTAACGAGGCTCCAGTTATTGATAATAAATCTTTTATGCAAATAATACATATCATTAGAGTTAAGTAAATGATAAAGCTAATATCACTTGGGTTTTACACACTTTTTAATTTGATAGAATTTAGCTTGGCGCTAGTTGTTGATATCAAATCTTTTATACAAATGATATTCCAGCTAACGCTAGATATTCCTGAAATATTCATAAAAGGTTTTCATATTCCCCCAAAAAAAAACATTCCGGAATATTCCGAAATATTCACGGAATATAAAAGCAACATTCAAATATCGGTTAAAAATTCTATGTCTACAGGTGTTTAATAAGTAACGATAAATCTTTCACGGTGGCAGAAATTAACTAAGCTGAGAAGAAAAGTCCTCTACCATTTTGCAACTTTCGCAATCGTTAACAAGATATTAATTACTAACATTGCTGAATATTGATTTTCGATAATTTTTTATTCAAATACTATCAACAGAAAAACAGCAAGAGACAAAAATTGTTTATTTTCTTCTCATAAAGTAGACAATCGAATCTCGTATGTAATTAGAAAGTAAACGCTCTTACGCGTACAGTGATGAATTGTTTAAGTTTAATTTGTTTATAACTTTTTCTTGAAAGATTGACAAAAGAAAATTACGCATGAATAAACGCGTACGCATGGTGAACAATCGAATCCCGTATATATTTTAATTTGGAAGAAGATTCACATGAAGGTGCTACAATTTTTTATTTATTTATAATTTTTTTTCTAAGGGTGAATAAAATTTTTTTTATGGACAATGCGATGTAGATTTTGTCAAAATTCGCATTTAGGGATGTCAGTTTCACAGACATATAAAAATACCATAATTGAATTTTCGGATAAAAAAATTTGTATGTGTCTGTGTAATTATATTATCACAACTGAATAAAAGGATAATAAAAGAATCATTATAATAAACAGATTAATTTTGTTAGTATCATTATTTTATACGTAATAATTCCATTTGTAAACGCCATCACGTGCGTAAGCCATGTCCACATTTAAAGTTCGAATTCGTTAATTAAAGCGATTAACGTGCAATTCGCTGACGCATCTGATGCTGACGTGCACGTGCGACGAAGTATAATATGTCTGCAATCCATCATTTTCATGCGCTGTGTCACGCGACGACGCCGCGATGTTCCGGCAATTATCATGAGGCCAGTTCCGGTGCAAGAGCGGTACTTGAGTTAAACACGAACAATAGGGCGCATTTAATGACATGCGTCTAGGTACACGTGTGCACTGTATATCCCGCTCTTGTTATATCGCAGTGAGAGTTCGATGTTTAACGCTAACTTTCTGTGAAAATAGTACATATATCCATTTTTTTTTCAAAGAAATTTAGTTGGCGAAAAATCCATTTCTTTTAATCCCTTATAACTTGAATATTGTTGATATCTCATCATGTTCACTAAGAAAAGTCGACTTTAAATTGACCAGAAGATCTGTCTTTGAGACAGCATCCGGTAATTTGGAGACATACTGTACATAATCTTACAGCATTCTTATTGTCATAAGAATCAAATACGCAAACAAACCTAATTTTGCATTCATCTTTCTATCCGGACCCAGTCAGAGGTCACAGCGCATAAATAACTCCGACCAGTCAAAGGGTTAATTATCGCGGGGCTGACTGCAACTTAATGCTTATAGTTTAATGTCCGTCCGTCAACGTGGAAGGTCGCAATCGCCTTGAGGGCACGTAACTTTACGACGCGACCCGCATTAATAATCACTTTCCCCTCGATCTTCTCTGCCTCTGCGTCTCTCTAGGCTGCGTTCGGAAACATCACCCGAGTGCCCCTGTGTATCGTTTTATCCTTATTATTCATCCAATGTTAAACAAGGATAAGATGATACACGGGAACACCTGAGTGATATTTCTGAACGCAGCCTATATGTAAAACGGCTGATCTCACTCTGCTCTTTCCTTATCTGTTGCAGCATTTTCCACAGCCACCGAGGATGTGGGGGATGAGCCCCAAGGGCACGAGAATGATACCGGTGAGTAATTTATGATTTTTTTCTAAGGACCGTGTTCTTTAATTTCTTTTTTCTCTTTCATGCGGATTTAACGCGTTTGAACTTTCCATGTCTTCAAACATTAATTCTCCATGTCAATGTCGCATCGATATTGTCCGCGGGTTGCGAATCGAGCAGTACTGTATAATTTTTCAAGTAATCATCCGATACTAGATTTATACGGTATTTGTCATTCTTTGTTTCAATTACAAAAACGCAAAAAGGACAAAGAGAAAAAAGAAGATGAAAGAATTAACGGAAGGATATTAAGACCATTAGAACTGGGAATTTGTGAGGAGACATTTCACCCATGTTTGTCAGGATTTGGTCCAGGGTCGACTGGTCCAGTTTTCGAGTGAGTGGTGAAATTGATGCTAAGATACTAACGCGCGTAATTTACCAATTGATGTTCTCTCGACCGGTCGGGTTTGCAATCCGTTCGTGGATTGAATCGCAATTAGTTATTAATTTATCGCGCTAGTGCGGCTTATTGTTAGTAGTTCGATTAACTTAGTCAAATATTAATTGATATACACGACTGTTAAGAACTAGTTTGATAAAAGTTGTTACACAGCGCGAAATGTGTCTCGGGCAATTCTATCGTTATAACTCGCGAGAGTTGTGAGTAATTAATTAATGCTCAGGACGGAACGGTAATTTCTTTCGCAAGTATGTACGAACGCGAAACGTTCCGATCTCACGTAATAAAGATAGATCAATCTTAAGTGTATGTTTGTATTGCTTTACGACATATCAGCTGTCATAGTAATGACTGATACACATACGTGTATACCTACACTGAAAAAAAAATATAGTTAATTTAAATAAATATTTAGTTCAATACTGCCAACTAAACATTTACTTAAAGTAAATAAATATTTGTTCAGTAAAAAAAATGATTGTTAAATCAAATTAACATTTCTTGTATCAGATAAATATATCTTTATATTTAATAAATATTTAGTTGGCAGTATTCAACTAAATATTTATTAAAATTGACTATATTTGTTTTTCAGTGTATACAACTGTATACATCAGGATTTTGTCGCTTAATGGAGTAAGTCACATCAAATTCACATAGGAACTGGTTTCTCAGATCATTAAATAAGGAAAAGTTTATATTGTGACAGATATGTGGACGATGTTATGTAAAAATGACTTAATCTATTAAACGAATCACATCGGATCTTTAATTTCCATAAAAGAGGAATAACACGGAATAATTTTGTACGCGCGCGCGCGCGCGTGTGTGTGAACAAATCCTAAATTAATAACTTTTTTGTAAAAATTAACATAATGTGCATGCGTGCGTGCGGCGCGAAGGTTGTATGTATAATTAATTTTCGTGTTTTGTTTGTATACTTATCTTCAGATTATCGCCCATAGTAGACTTACGACGTCAGAAATGAATAAATAAACACGGTGAAACGTTTAACTTATGTCCATACAAATGACTTTTAGCGAAACCGCTTTATTGCGGATAAAACAAGAAATACGCCTTGAATTGTGTTATCATGTTTGATACATCTGAAATGATCTTCAGAATCAAATTTTAGTTTATTAAACGAAACTTTGCAATTGTATTTAATCAATGACTTGTATTTCATCGTTTTATATATGTTAGATTGATAATAGAGTTTAATGGCACATTTTATAAACTAGTCTATGTCAACTTGAAATGAATTAATAATCAAGAATTAATCATTATTCGAATTACAACAGTTGTTTATGTATATTTCTTTGAATTTCTTTGAAAGTGATTGATGCAAATATAATTATAGTCTCTAAACTTTTAAATATCAATATTCTGCAGCACTTATGTATAATTGTACTAATAATTACGATTATCATTTTTTTAGTCTCACTAAGATTATAATTTTATAATTATTATATAAAAAATGAACTTAAAGTGACAGAATTATAGTTTATAATAATTTTATGTGAAATTGTAATATGCAAAATATTTAGGTTGTCAAGAAAGTTCTGAGAATTAGGTTTCGATTTTTATACACAGAAATGGTTTTTATACACAAATTATTTTAAATACAATGATAATTATTCTTCAAAGTTAAGACTGTTATGCACAAAAACCATTTGCTATAAAATCTGCTAGTTGTCAAATTTAGTCTCGGTACCATTAGTCTTGTAGACGGGTCGAGATACTATCACACTCGGTACAGGTTCTGATTATATTGTCCATCGTTTGATTGTAGTATATTTCGTTCAATGAAACATTTCTTGTAAAGACGATGATTCGAAACTTGAACAAATTCAGGTAGCTTGTCATATATTCTTTGCATGTGTAAAGAATCGAAATGATACCGTGGCCAAATTTGGTAGCTAGCAGAATAGTGGTGAATGAATGGTGATTATTGAACATGATGGTTTCTCTTTATTTTGAATTTTTGAGGAATGATATCGCTGTTTCTGAATAAACCTGTATGTAAAAACTGTTTCTATAAAAAATATATTTCTATGACAAATTCATGATAAAAATCAAAGGGTTAGAACTTTTTTAACAAACTAGTACATATCGGGGAATATACATATATATATACATATATCAAATTAATCAATCAATACATTAAATTGGTTTATTATAAAACAATGAACAAATTTTTTTTTTATATTTTGAAACAAATTTTAAGTAATATTAATCAGTTTTATTCAAATTGTTTGAAATTATTTTTTATTGTAGCTGTAATACTTCTAAAATTAAATCTTCATTCTTGAAAGATTTTCATGCATGCACTGCTGGGCGTTAACACGCTCGTCAAACGTGCACATTTGAAAAAAGCACGATTTGATTGGGGTATCTCTAATCAGAATCAAGACATGAAACAGCTATTTTTGATCGGTATTTTAAGAACTCTTGAGAGAAAGAGAGAGAGAGAGAGAGAGAGAGAGAGAGAGAGAGAGAGAGAGAGAGAGAGAGTACAACGGAAATAGAAAGAGAAAGAAATAATATGTCCTTCTATCTTGTATAATTTTGTTAAAATTACTAGAGACCATATTGGGTGCATTCCGTTTTTGTACTCGTACGAAGCATCAGTTCATTTTTACTCTCCATCAAATATATTAAACAAGGACGAATGATGCTTACGAGCGCTGTAAACGCAAAACGGAATGTTCCCATAAAACATAGCTCGTATCTAGACTCTGATTAGAATTAAGGAAGAGTCTCTAAAACAACCATAAAGATACGTGTTTGACGTATGTACATGAGCGTTAGTACGCGACAGCACATGCATGGAAGGAATTGTTTTCAATTTATGATAACAAAAGTACCACACGTTTTACATGCTTCATATAGAATTAAAGCTCTAGATATTACAATAATAACATAATTTTTATTTGAGCGAATAGCTGCGTTTAGCAGAAAAATTGTAGCAATTTTTTAATATAGTTTTTGTTTTGTCTTTAACTTTTTACTGAATTTAAGTATAAGAAAATTATATTAAAAAATCATTGACTACTGCTCACTGATTAGATTTCTTTTGAACACAGCCAATTTGTTTTCTTATTAGCTACTTCCTCTTCTTGAACGTCATGCTTTACCGAATTAATCTGTCGTTCAACGGGCGTTCAGAATTATTAATTGTTTAACATGATCTTTTAATATAATTAATTAGTTTTTACACTTATTATTAAATACAACGAAAAATTAAAAGTAAGAATCAAGATTGAGTAAAAATTGGCAATCGTTTGCAGTATTCTTGTAATATCTATGTAGAGCTGTAATGAAATTTACAGATACTCTAATCAGAGACTAGTCATAAGAAAGTGTCATCCATTTTTTAACAAAATCCTGCGACTGAGAAAAGATATATGCTATCTCACTCTCTACAGTGGTGCGAAAAAGAATCAAGTCAATTTCTTACTCTTACTTCTTACTCCGTGTATTATAGATGGGCCTTACGAGTTACAGAATCAGCGGAATCAGCCCCTTAATCAAATTACAATCTGGACGACCTCTAGCGACATTCAAGTATTAACTTCTTCTGGCGAGTATACTGTAGATAAAATAGGAAACACTTTATTCTTTAATCGATAACGTATTCGTACTGAATTATCGACTTACCATGCCCGCTGTTGATCATATCTATTCTATATCCGGTAATTGTCAGATATATTATCGGCTTACTTAATGAATATCAATTTCGATGGACAATTATTATTATTGTTTGTAACGCAGTGTAGATCATTATCACGAACAATTTGTTAAGGGGTTTCTAAAGCGAAGCTTGAACTCCAACAAAGTCACCAGAGGTCGCGCCGCGCGCCGCGCATCGCATGTCTTTACCCAGTGAAAACGACTCAATCAAAGTGATGTCAATATGACATCAAAACCGTCGTTGTTGTCATGGCGTCAAAAAGATAGTTCAATATGACGAAAAATTGACACTGTAGAATGATGTCTTCAGTGAGGAAATGTCGTCAAAAAGATAGTTCAATATGACGAAAAATTGACACTGTAGAATGATGTCTTCAGTGAGGAAATATAGAAGGTAAACATTATTATTTATAGATGATAATTCTAGTCTTATGCGAGATAGGTATTCAATCAATATCACATTGACGTCAAAATGATAACCAAAGAGGTAACCACTAGCTGAAATATTGTCCCATAGATTACATGATTTCATCTAATTACAAACCATTTTTTTCACTACTACGAAGTAATTTAGCAAAATATACGATTTTATTTAATATTATACAATGATTTCTCGTGGTTGCATATATAATTATCGGATTATACATAGAGATTTTATATAAATTTTATAATGATTTTGAGGATTCTGTCCCACGATTACATTAAGTGGTTACCCCCTCGATGATAATATTATGATGAGATTGTAACGCATAAGTTACAATCAAAGAGTAATACAAAATAATACAAATAATTTATGAAATCATAAATAACAATATAAAGATGATCTGTACGTTTCGATTCTAGTTTGAACCATATTCAACAATGAACT